GATAAGTAGTTTACACACGTGAAAGTTCATGTGTATAGGATGATTGCATCTACAAGATTAATGGATGATATCATTTGATTGAAGATGGTGATGCACGGTTGGTGAACGTATTTGATGGTTGGTGATCAGATATGATCGCTAGGGCTCGCTATGGCTTCAACGAAGCTTGGTTGAGTTCTGTGATGAGTGTAGGTAGATCAGGGTTAGGGTTCCATCCGCGGTGAGATCAAGATTGTTGGTTAATGGCGGTGATCACTAGTGTTGATGGCGACATTGGGAAAGAATGGTGGGATTTTTTAGGGTGCATTTGTGGGGGGTGGCAAGGTTTTGAGGGTTGCATGGACTAGATTTGGAGATTACATGCCATTAGTTTTGAGGGGTACAAGTGGTGTTTATGGACCTGCCATTGGTAAGGTGGCTTCCAAAGGTGGGAGGATTTTGGTGGAGGATGTGGTTGTTGGTCAAGGTCCTCTTAGGTCGACAAAAAAGGAGGAGATCTCTCTAGAATCGAGATGAATGTTCTGATACAATGATAAGAATAAAGCTTTTAGAAAGAAAACAGACTGCATTATTTATTGTATTGAAGTGGTTAAATACAATAGTAAGAGAAGTTATAGAATCCTATGCAATATAGGATTAAAATAAAGGAAAACAGATAGCCTAACTAAAGTATTTAGCAATATGAAACCAAATATGAACTAAGAACATGTTTGTCCTGTTGGCAATAGACTAGTTTCATTTTTATGAAGTTTGTTAAGACTAATAAAGTATAGTTGTCGTTTGTTAGAAGGTGCAAATAAAAGAGAAGTTTTGAATGGAGAACAAAACAACTCTGAGAGCTCGTTTGGTTGTGGCTTATAAACCATTTTGAGGTGTTTGACAAGTAGATTATTTTGGCTTATAATTCACCAAAATTTTTGAGGTTGTAGCTTAATATTTTGATGCATTATAAGCTATAGGGTTTTACCAAATAAAAGACTGTATTCCTCACTATTTCACAAAATACCAGTCATGTTCTATTTAGTGGATTATAAGCCATGTCCTTTTTTATCATTTTGACAACAATAATGGCTTATAATCTGTCCAATTGCCAAACACTCTACTAGTGGGAATAGATTATTATCCACTAAAATTACCAATCACTATAGATTATAACCTACATGAATTGTAATCCATTTGTGGATTATAATCCACTTAGATTATAATCTAAAATTACCAAACATGCTTTCAATCTTATTCTTTATGCTGTTGGTGCTAGTATGAGAATTTTCTCTCTATTTTAATTGATTTGAAGGCAACAATTAATGGGTAAAAATTCTTGATTGAAACGTTCTGAGTGCGAGGTGAACATGGAGATGCAGGGGACAATTTGAATATCTAATTTTCCTCTGCTTAGCTCGAATTGCCTCACAATGTGCATAGCATCATGATGGAATTTGTGCTCATATCTATACTCTTTACGAGGAGTAGACATTTCATCAGAACACTCTCATAGAGTAAAATGGTATACGCCGTTCATATATGGTTAGAGGGTTAATTAAGAAATTATAGTATATTTATGGTGCGAAGCACCCAACTCTTATGAAGATGGTTCTGATTGAATTTCTATTCTTAACCGAGGATAGAATCTAAGCACAACTTCTGCTAAAGGTTTTTTTTATAAAGCCCAATAAAACACAGCTCAGCTTGAATAAAATTCTTAACATACGTGGTACGATTATTCTTAACATACGTGGTACGATTACTGTTTTTGTTTCCGCAAGAAAGCCAGTAGTGTACTGGGCTTGTTCTAACTTTATTAAGGCCCATTAAATTGGCAAGTTGAAAGTCAAAGCCCAGTTCGGCACTAGCTTATGTCAAGACAGAGTCAATGGCATAAGGGTAATTTGTGCTAAAACCTCTCCCTCTAACTCTCTTTCTCTCTTCTCCTAAAACCCGGACAAATTTTCAAAACCAACCCTTTCGATTTTTTATTTGTAAAAAACGACCTATTTCAGTTTTATTTGCAAAAACCGACCTGGTTTCAGCCTCAGCGCTGAAACCAGGTCGGTTTTTGAAAAAAAAATTCCGAAACTTCACGGGAGTTGAACTCCCGTGAAGTTTAGCAGCTTTTAATTAAGCTGCTAAACTTCATCAGTTTTATTTGCAAAAACCGACCTGGTTTCAGCCTCAGCGCTGAAACCAGGTCGGTTTTTGAAAAAAAAATTCCGAAACTTCACGGGAGTTGAACTCCCGTGAAGTTTAGCAGCTTTTAATTAAGCTGCTAAACTTCATTTGAAAAAAAAATTCCGAAACTTCACGGGAGTTGAACTCCCGTGAAGTTTCGGAAACTTTTTTTTCAAAAACCGACCTGGTTTCAGCGCTGAGGCTGAAACCAGGTCGGTTTTTGCAAATAAAACTGAAATAGGTCGTTTTTTACAAATAAAAAACCAAAAGGGTTGGTTTTGAAAATTTGTC